TAATTAGCATATATGTTATTATCTGTACTATAATTCTTAAAATGAATTAAAAAAAAAAACAACATGCGTCCATAACAGACACGTTTATAACAGGCACGCGCCATTTCTAGTTTCTACGCGTGAACTTTCCAACCCTACAATTAAAAAAAAAATCGGTCGACCTCTGCAACATTGTAGTTTGACATATCGCCCGTGCAAAATATCTTCACTTTTAAAAATGATCTTTATCTCTATGTAAAATAGAGTTTATTATTATTTGTAATTGACAAGTAACTTTTGCTTATTACGTACAAAGGAAAGTAGTCTTTATTGATTTAGATAATAGGCTCTTTATACCAACTAAGTTACTAACTCAGCTTCTTTGTTTCGTAATGTCAAGCGAATCTCAACTTTATTGCTTTTAAATAAAACAGGTTGCATTGAAATATTTGCACCTTTATCCAATTATAGTAATGTATGGATTAACAGTACATCTGAAGCAGTTGGTTAGGGAAATGTCAATCGTTCAAGATGGCTGCCACACATTTGGCGCTATTATTGATTATAATTTAGCGTCACGCTCACATCACAATAACATAAAGGAGCAAAATGTATACACAAAAAAAAAAGAGGTTCGAACACGTTCTAATCTGAGAAAATTAAAACTTTTTTTTTTTTATTAGGGATTTACATTCATACTTTGTTTGTTTAGCCACTGACGTCTCAATATTACCAATCTAAGAACAAGGAATTACATAGAAGGATGATAAAATATAAACAATAAGTCATGTGGTTGCCTCTTTTCTTCTTATACTAATATTATTAGCAAAAAGAGGACGTGAGATATATTATCGGATACTTTTTTCTTGATTCGTCCTCTTTTTGCTAATTATATTTGCATAAGAAGAAAGGAAGCAACCATATGATTTACAGTTTTTATTTTATTATTCCTTCTATGTACTCATAATTCCTTGTTCTTAGTTACCAATGCATAAGAAGAAACTGTTTATAATTTTAAAAGATTACAGAACATAGATTAAGAATAATCACAAGAAATATTAGATTAATACCTCCATAAACGGTCACTGTTGATTCAAGCTTATTATAAAAAATAAAGTTTTATTTTATTTATTTATAATGCAGTTTTATATTTATGTATTAGTATGCTAGTATATTAACCAAACAGGCGACGTGCTGAAGAAGGGCCAAATTAAAAGTACCCGTAACCGGCGAGCGTGTATGAAAAGATTGATGAATGTGGAGGAAGCGAAGGAGGTTTGTTTGAATCGAAGCATTTGGCGTTCCATTGTTTCTGCCTACCCTAATGGGAGACAGGCGTGACAGATATGTATGTATGTATATATGCTAGAAAGCTGGCTGCTTTTTGCACATACTGGCTCGTCTTTCACATAATTTGTTTTTTTTTTATTGTTTGTGTGTAATGGATAAACTCAAAAACTACTCAAGCGATTTTAAAAATTCTATCACCAATAAAAAGCTACAGTGTCATTAATTACTATTACTATATAGTATAAAACAAAGTCGCTTCCCGTCTGTCTGTCTGTATGTATGCGTAGATCTTTCAAACTACACAACGTATTTTTTTTTAATAGATAGAGTGATTAAAGAGGAAGGTTTATATGTATAATACATGCATAATACAGTAGAGGAACACTGATAATTTTAGAGGTTTCTAATGTGATGTAATGTGCACCCGTGCGACGCCGGGGCCGGTCGCTAGTATTATGAAAAAAAAGTATCTTTGATCATGAACGCATGGATAAACGACGAGACATTTTGTAGATAGTTTACATTGTAAATTTTGCGTGGGTACATAGAGATTTTTTTGCTCCACAAAGAAAAACAGCAGCTTCGGTACTCAAAAAAATTGATATGAGGTCAAAACTGGAGGAAACCCTATCGATGACAAAGGAAATCCTAAAAGTTGCTCCCTGCATTCATTGCCGAGGTTTTCTCTAGAGGCTACAGTATAGGGTTTTTTAAATACGGTGTATCAAGGTTTCTTCAGGATCGGCAAAGCGCACGTGACACCCCTAGTGTTGCAGGCGTCCATAGACTACAGTGGCCGTTTACCATCAGACGGGCCGTATGCTTGTTTGCCACCTTTGTGGTAGAAAATTTTTTATTCAGAATTAGGGACGTAACATAGTCGCAAAATATTTTAAAATTCGAATGTCTTTTGATTTTGTTAGTAGTTCCAAAACACAATTTGACCGTGTACAACTAAAATACACAATACCATTTACAATCGTTGTCGGTTAACAATGATGGACGAAACTCGAAGCTACAAAATCCTGTCCTCTATTAACGGAAGCAATTAATCTTATGACTGTAGTCAATTAACTAATTAAAACTACATTAGGTTTCTCCTAATAAAAGTACTTTCAGCTGCAAAGAACTCCCTAGCACTTATATGTTCCTGGTACTTTTATTATTTTGTCTAGGTATCTATCTACATGCGGAATACTTTTTGGGATAGTCAAGAACTGCGTACTGCATTTTTTTTTGATGCGTGAAAATGGTATGGTAGCCCCGCCTACGCTATCGGTATACGCTGGCGGAGCACCAGTGAAGGGTGATAGGTGATGATGTAAGCAGGCCAGTTAGCCCATCATGATGAATTCATCAGGAATTAACCATGTTAGTTTCCAGGGAGAACCGCGAGGAGGTCGACCTGGTTGGGTATATTGCTAGCAATGGGATTCTCAGTCTCCATTACACATAACAATCCCTCTCCCCCTCATTAGCATGTTAGGTACGTCAAATTCGTCCGTCAATTCACGCCATATCCCACCCTTCAAACCGAAACAATGCACAAGCAATGCAAACACAACTACTTCTCGGTAGAAACACGAACGGGACAGAGGTACCCAAGTAATCGACTTTTGTACAAAGTCTCCCTCTGGTTTATATCCAATCAGTTACAAGTGTTAGTGTTGGCATCTAAATCTTAAAAAAATATAAAAAAAAGTATGGCATTTTATTTTTAAAAATAGAAATGCCATTTTTAAATATAGAATGTGACCTCTCGAGCTGATAGAAAGTGCATCTAAGCACGTAGACAGATGCGCGCGCACCTTGCGTGGTGGAGCCTGCGTTTTTGCCCGCACATCTGCCAAGATAAAGGTCCAGGTTCAAAGACCCCTGATTATTGGATAGACTGCGTGTTAACGGTGTTACATTATTCACAGAATTATCTAACAACACCTTGGATATAAAAAAAATATTGTCCACAAAAAAATGGTCGAAATCTTGACCTATTTTTTTCCAAAATGAGACTCGGAACTGACTTAAAATTACAATGTTGGTGATTAAAAGTACCAGGGATATACAGGTGTCCGGTAATGAATGGATAACCTTGAAACGTCTTATAGTTCAGCTTATGTCCGTCCTAAAAAAATACGAAACAAAATATATCATAAGTAGTACCTTTGTTATCGTTATTTTAAAGAAAAGTCAAATTTTTTCTATCTTATTTTACTGTTCTGATCACTATTACAAGAAATTAATGAATTCTATTGGTTTCTTGGTTGTTTTATTATTATACACTAACTGTGCTGATAGATAGAAAGTGAATAGTATGACTAGCTATTGCAGTGTTTTTTTTTTTAATACGCGAACTAATTTATTTTTGAAAAATATGCAAAAAAGTAAATAATTTTTAAGCAACGTTCACACCTCTAGGGTATAAAAAAATGTATGAATACATGAGTGACCAATTATTTTAAAATAGTGTCTGTTTCAAGTAGATTTTACAATGGTACAATTCGAGGGGGGGGGAATAGGATTGTTAGTAATGGGGTCTAACTGACCCATTGCTGCAGTACAGGGTGTATCAGGTCGACCTCCACGCGGTTCCCCCTGGAAATCATCGTGATTAATTCTAGCGGAATTCGTCACGATGAACTGACCTGCTTACATCATCACCTATCATCCTTCACTGATGCTTTTTTTTTTATACAACTTAGAATGGCAAACAAGCTGACGGCCCACCTGATGGAAAGTGGTAACCGTCGCCTATAGACATGAGCAGTACCATGGACATAACAGAGTATACTGTTTCGCCCATGATACCCCCTATGCGTTGCTATTCCTGAGGACTCAGGTGTTAATTCGGTTATCCTTTGGTGTAAATTCACGCCATATCCCACCCTTCAAACCGAAACACAGCCATGCAAACACAACTGCTTCACGGTTGAAACACGAATGGGACAGAGATACCCAAGCAATCTACTTTTGTACAAAGTCTCCCTCTTTCCAAACTTCACATCATCATTATCATATCAGCCTTACAGTATTATTATTACACTAGCTGTGTCCCGCGACTTCGTCCGCGTCAATTTCTGTTATTATGATAAGGATTAATATTATTATGTTGATAAAACTCTCTGGCAAATTACTATAAAAAAGGTTATAGTGAGTCAATCTTAAAAGATAGACATATACCGTCGCGGACTTTTTTTTAGATCATTTAAAGAGAAATAATTCTTTCGTACATATTTTTTGAGTAACTTTAACCGTTTACGCAGCCCACGCAACGGAAGCCCTCAAATATGTATAATTCTCCCTGTTTTTGCAACATTTTTCACTGATGCTTCGCTCCTATCGGTCGCAGCGTGATGTTATATACCCTAAACCTTTCCTCAATAAATGGACTATCCAACACAAAATCGAATTTTTCAATTCGAACCAGTAGTTCTTGAGATTAGCGCGTTCAAACAAACAAACTCTTCAGCTTTATAATTTTTTTTATACAACTTAGAATGGCAAACAAACTGACGGCCCACCTGATGAAAAGTGGTAACCGTCGCTATAGACATGAGCAGTACCACGGACATAACAGAGTGTACTGTTTCGCCCATGATACCCCCTATGCGTTGCCATTTCTGAGGACTCAGGTGTTATTCCTCTGTACCCTGTAAATTCACTGCCATATCCCACCCCTCAAACCGAAACACAGCCATGCAAACACAACTGCTTCACGGTAGAAACACGAATGGGACAGAGGTACCCAAGCAATCGACTTTTGTACAGAGTCTCCCTCTGGTAAAGTACTTGTTATTAATTAAATTTTTATATTAATTTCAAAATATTACGATACGACGTGAAGTTAGTGTCTTCATTAGTATGAACTGTGCCAGAAACATACCTACCCTTTGTTTCAGCATCATCTGCCGACCTAAAATAAAACCAACCCTTGTTGACATGGAGCGCATGAAAATAATAACAAGCGGCGCGCTCCCACTCCAACACTAACGAAACGAAAGAGAGAAAAGTAACGTTCACTGCGCGAGCTTAAAGTTGGCTGCCATTTGTTGAGTTGCCGGCGAGTAATTGTTTGCTTACATACGCTACTCCGCCGCTAGGGCTCGTCGCGTGCGGACGTCTCTTTCGTCGTGTACAAATAAAATACGTTAACCGCAAACTCGCGTGAAGTGCTCGTGCGTTCGATATTCAAAAAGCGTGTCCGTATTTCGTAATCCGTGACTGTGACTTTAGTTTTTATGTGCTCGATATGAATTAGCAGAGAATAAGATTTTGCCTTTTTCTTTTGTTTTGAATTTGGAACGTAAAATCTTTTTAAATGATGGGCGTAAGCAGCTGCATGAGCGTCCGGCAGGCCAGGGGACCGTGCCACTGCCCCGCGTGCCCCAGAGCCTCGGGGCACGGGGCTCCCGTACCGCCACAGACGCTCGTGCTTCCCCCAATGGCCCTCGAACCAGAGACAACACCTGTCAAAGATAAAAAGGGTTCAAAAATGAAAGTGCTGAAGAAAATCAAGAAAAAGATCGGCCTCGGTAAGTGCCATAGATAAGAGATTTAACGGTTTTTTGTAAAACATAAAAAAATATTTAACGTCCTTAAAAATACGTTAAGATTAAAAGTGGGTTTAAAGTTTGTTAGATATGTTTTTATTTTTTATTTAAGAGATTCCTCTTGTCGGTACAACTAATTTATGCATTCTGTTCCAGCCAGCTCTATTTCAGGCCATATCTTTGACCTCTCTATACGACACGACACCCAGTGTTTTCTTTATCTGTCCCATATAGTTATTTCTTGGTCTTCTTCCTCTTTTGTCCTCTATTTTTTTTTCCAGTATGGTCTTACAAAAGTCGTCATGCACTGTAAGGTGCAGTTTGCTTCTTCTATTCTTTATTGTTTTTTTTTTTCTAATCCATATAGAAAAAAATATTTTGTATGCAGTAAAATCTCGATACCAAAAATATACATATATAAATAAATAAATACATATTTATTTATTAAAACTTCATTGACCAATAAAATTTTACACATAAGGCGGACTTATACGCATTCTCTACCAGTCAACCTTAAGGATGTGGGGGAAAAGGATTGTTAGTAATGGAGACTGAGAATCCCATTAATAGCTAGCTAGCAATATACCCAACCAGGTCGACCTCATCACGGTTCCCCTTGGAAACTATCATGGTTAATTCCTGATGAATTCATCATGATGTGCTAACTGGCCTGTTTTCATTCTCATCTATCACCCTTCACTGGTGCTCCGCCAGCGTATCCCGTTAGCGCAGGCGGGGTTACCGTACCATTTTCAACCATAAAAAAAAAAACCTTAAGGATGTAGAAAAATATTCGATGGCGGTTTAAAAAAAGATATATTTTGGTATAAATTGATAATACATACGAGAATTCATTAAATGTTCTACAATAATTATCATAAATAAATGTAAAACAATGCTTATTTCGTGACTATTACGGTATGATGACCTTTATACAAAAAAGGAACCGTTTCCGTGTAAAAATGGATGTGTGACTAAAATACCCAGTGGCTTTTGTCAGTGAATTTACAGTGTGCATAGGAATAACGCCTGAGTCCTCGGGAATGGCAACGCATGGGGGGTATCATGGACGAAACAGTATACTCTGTTATGTCCATGGTACTGCTCATGTGTATAGGCGACGGTTAACATTTTCCATCGGGTGGGCCGTCAGCTTGTATGCCATTCTAAGTTGCATAAAAAGCTTGCTGTGGAGTACATTATTTATAGTTTTTATAACACTATTGGTATACACTGACAAGGTACCAGGGAAGCATAAAAGGTGAGGATGTAAGCAGATCAGTTAGTACACCGTGACGAAATGAAGAAATAGAATTGAAGAATTAGCCACGATGGTTTCCAGGGGGATTCGCGTGGAATTGTCCTGATAGGGTACATTGCTAGTGTTTTTTTTTTAGTGGATGATAATAAAATGGTAACCCCGCCTGCGCTAACGGTATACGCTGGCGGAGCACCAGTGAGGGATGATGGGTGAGGATGAAAAGGCAGGTCAGTTAGCTTATCGTGCTGGATACACCTGGCAGTCATCACGATGGTCTCCAGGGGGACCACGGGGAGGTCGACCTGACAGGGTATATTGCTAGCAATGGGACTGGTAGTCTCCATTACTAACAATCCCCCCCTTCCTACCATTGCTAGTGATTAGTAATCACGCCTGCGCTATCGGTATACATTAGCGAGGTACCAGGGACACATGATAGGTTAGGAGGATGAAGTAGTCAGTTGGCTCATCGTGGCGAATTCCACAAGAATTAACTACGATGGTTTCCAGGAGGAACCTTGTGGAGTTGTCCTGGATAAGGTATATTGCTAATAATGGGATTTTTTTTAATGGATGACAATGAAATGGTAACCCCACCTGCGCTATCGTTATCCACCTGCGTTGGCGAAGTACCAGGGAAACATGATAGGTAAGGATGTAATAGTCAGTTGGCTCATCGTGGCGAATTCTACAAGAAGTAACCACGATGGTTTCTAGGAGGAATCACGTGGAGTTGCCCTGGATAGGGTATATTGCTAATGATGGGATTGTTTTTTTTTTAATGGATGACAATGAAATGGTAACCCCACCTGCGCTATCGGTATACGTTGGCGAAGTACCAGGGACACATAATAGGTTAGGAGAATGAAATAAAATCATTAAGCTCATCGTGGCGAATTCCACAAGAATTAACCATGATGGTTTCCAGGAGGAACCTCGTGGAGTTGTCCTGGATAGGGTATATTGCTAATGATGGGGTTTTAGACCCCATCACCAACAGTATTGAAAAATTTTAAGCCCTATTTCTTTATTCTGGTTTACCATAATGACACCAGTATCGATCCAGTATAGTCCTTCAACGTGGCATTCATTATTAGAAGATATGAGAGATCAATAAAATATTACTAACACACGTTTTACCTTTTAGACTGCTGATGTTTTATTATAGACTAGCGGCCCGTCCCGGCTTCGCACGGGTGGACATTTTTACAACACTTGAAAAAGTGGTTATTGTGACATAACGATAATAGTTGGACATATAGTGTCGCGAAGTTTTTTGTAGTTATTTGATATTTCCTTCAATATTGTAGAACATACTTTTGTTCTATCACCAATAGTTTCCGCAGCGCACGCGACCAAAGATATTTTATAGCATTTTTTTTACACCTCGAGTTACGTTACTGAAGTTTTAGTAAGGATCCCTAATGTTTTCTAGCAATAAATACAGCCTATGTTACTCAGGGTAAATGTAGCATGTTGTAATGGTGAAAGAATTTTTTAAATCGACAAAATAGTTTTTGTGTTTATTCATTACAAACATACATACACACAAAAGTACAAATATTTTCTCTTTATAACAGTGTAGAATACTAGTTTTTACACGCGACTGCGTCCCCGTGACTTATATCGTTATTATGGTTAGAAATTAGGGCGTTTAGACGAATGGTAAATGTGAATCGTTTTCGGATACAATTACAAAAGTGGACATTTCATTTATGCAGCTTTTTTTTATACAACTTAGAATGGCAAACAAGCTGACGGCCCACCTGTTGGAAAGTGGTAACCGTCGCCTATAGACATGAGCAGTACCGTGGACATAACAGAGTATATCTACTGTTTGGAGCAGCTTTGGAACTATTCACATTATTCACTATAAAAACCTACAAATTTTAATTAGTACCCTGTTTTGTCACTTTCTTTCAAATAAGGCATTTAGCATAAAAGAAAGAGACAAAACAGTTAAATAGCTGAAATAGGTTTAGGAGAGGTTTGGCTTTTTATAAATTTTATACTTTTATTTTTTATATTTTTTATAGTATAGTATAAATTCCGATTATGAATTTAAATATGTGTAGAAAATTAAATAACTTGAACCCATATTTGCAAAAAAAAAAAATAGAAAAATATATGAGCTAGTTGTTTATAATTTTGTTTTTACTCAATCAAGTTTGATTAGGAAACAGATGTATGTGTGATTATAAAATATCAAAATCATGATTATTTTTATAATATTTATTGCTATTTAAAAGGTTTAATGTGTATGAAAATGAACAATTAAGAAACGTAATTGAAAAAGTGACCGTCCGCATCTGCTGTGTCCTTACGTCGACATAATGATACGCCTTTTTTTTTTTTAATACAGCTGCTCGAACACCTTGCCTAATTTAAGTATGAGTAGGTAGACTTGTTTAAAATTTATAGCGTTTGTGGTAAAAGACGAATTCCTGTGCGTGAATTAAAAAAAAATTAAGAAAATGAAAGAAAAGTTTTAAAATACGAATTGTGTTTAAAATTTTGAAGATAAGGCTGTATGGCTTAATTCCTTTATCTTTTTTATTGTGGATAAAAAAATGAAGAAATATCAAAAAAAGGATATTTAAATTAAGAATTGTATTTATAATTCTGAAGATAAGACTGTTTCGCTTAGTGCCGTTGTCTTTTCCATTGTGAATAAGTTACTACTACTGTATTTATAATTATTATTATTTACTCTTTTTGCTGACTTTTTGATGGAATTTTTCATATTTGAATATATATTTTCAATAATTATTCACAATAAATGTACATAATTGAAGTCGGTAAAAATTCTATAATATGGCGTGCGCTTTTTGAAAAAACGGTTTTAAATATAAAAAGAAATATATTATCTATAGCAGAAACGAAAAATTCCTTGTTTCTTAGACAGAAACGTCATTTAACTAATACAATAGACTGTAGACAAAGACAAAGAAGTACAAGTAAAAAAAAAGTACAAGAGAGAAAAAAATTAGAAACGTTCCAAATTCAAAACCCCCAAATTTTAATACATCAACCGGCCAGATGTTCCGGTTCGGAAACGCACAATAAGCACGGAAGTTGGCAATAGTGCCAGATGCGTAACGATTATTGCTAAGTTTTACTCCTACGCCAGATGTCAACCTTTTGTTCTTGGCTGTATACGAGCGACGCCTTTGCCTTCCACATGTCGAGAAGAAATAATAGCGTCAATTGTTCCGACAATTGCGCGGGCTTTTGAAGGAAGTTAAACGTGCAAACGCAAAAAACTAACTGTACACTTTTGGATGTCGTTTGTTAATACTTTAAATGCCCAGACAAGTACCATCAATCCATCCTCACACCTCAGAACCGGAATGGTCACGCACAGTGCGGTTTGAGAGGAGCTTCAGCTCAGGTTGTGAAATGATCTTCCTGACCAGGCCTTCGCTAGAGTTCCTCAAAAAGGGCGTATTAAGGTTTCTTTAGTGGAAGCTACGCACGCGTGACATCCCTGTTGTTACACGCGCCCATACGCTACGATAACCCAGTTTACCATGAGACGGGCCGTATGCTTGTTCGCTATCAAAGTAGTATAAAAAAAGCGTTTGCTACTCAAGATGGGATACTTTATTTTATGGGGAAGGAAAGGTATTCTTAGTAATGGAGACTAGAAGCCCCATTTGTAGCAATATAACCCTGTCAGGTTGATCTCCAAGCGAAATTATTAATTTTCCTATATTGGCCA